GGGGGGGGGGCTGATTTCTTGCCTTCTGTCTTTCTGGCGAGTGCATGTGCACTATAGCAAAAACCTCCAAAAAAAAAAAAAACCACCCCCCTGGGTAGCTCATTTGGCAACCTCTGGTACCTCCTTTGCAAACTCAGAAATCTGAGACATGCCACCATCTGGCCCGCTAGGGTTACAGGCCAGGCGATAGAGGGAATCTGGCCTCTCTCTCCCCAGGGGGAGAGAAGCACAGAGGCAGTGACAGGGCCGAGAGTGTTGGCCTCACGTGACTCTGGGTTGTGGAGGCCATGGCGCTGCTGGGGAAGGCAGGCACAGGAGAACCCCCTGCCTGGGCCAAGAGAAGGGCTGTGATTCCTCGCTTGTCCCCTTACCCAGAACATGGCTCTGTATGCTGACGTCAGTGGAAAACAGTTCCCTGTTACCCGGGGCCAGGATGTGGGCCGTTACCAGGTAAGGGGGGGGCGCTACCTGCTCGAGTGTGACTTGGAGCGCAGCCGGGGCTGGTGGGCCAGCCCCCCACCACTGCCAAACACCCCCACCCCAGGTGTCCTGGAGCCTGGACCATAAGAGCGCCCACGCAGGCACCTATGAGGTCAGATTCTTTGATGAGGAGTCCTACAGCCTCCTCCGGAAAGTGAGTACAGCCTGAGAGCCCTCCACAGCCACCTCGTCTCCCTCACCCCTCAGTGCCTTCCGTGGTGCTCCTGCCCCACCTGTCCCTCCATGTGCTACCCACTCGTCTCGCCTGGGCAGCTGGTTAGCACCCCTGATCCCAGCACTCCCTTCCAGGCACAGAGGAATAATGAGGACATTTCGATCATCCCACCCCTGTTCACAGTCAGCGTGGACCATCGGGTGAGTGCCCTTCCTGGCCTGCCTCAGTCCTGAGAGGGATCGCAGCTGGAAGGGCTGCCGTGGGGTAGCCAGGAGGAGTCCGGTTCCAGTTGGAGCCACTAGCAGCAGCCCACCTCAGGGGGTCACCCCACCTCAGGGATTGGGCAGAGAAGGTAGGCCTGGCCTACCTCGGGAGTTTGGGGATGAGGGACAGTTCTCTTCTCTCAGGCCTGTCTTTGGCCAGTGTGTCTATGCCCCTGCCAAGGGAGAGGGGCTGGCTGGCCTCCTGGTCAGGCTCAGCTTTGAGCTGGGTTTTGCTTTTTCTTCTTCCAGGGCACCTGGAACGGGCCCTGGGTCTCCACCGAGGTGCTGGCCGCAGCCATTGGCCTAGTGATCTACTACCTGGCCTTCAGCGCAAAGAGCCACATCCAAGCCTGAAAGCAGGTGCCCTCCATGCTGCCTTCAATAAAAGGTCATTGGCTGTCACCAGCACATTCAGGACCGAGGGCTCTTGGCTGGCTTCTTCATGCCTTTTCCATATGCGTGCACGTGTACATGCATACGGGTATACACAGTAGACCTACCTAGTGGGGAAGTGGGTGGCTGCATTCCCCCTTCTCCCATTACGCCTGTCCCCAGTGCCCTGCGCCTGCCCTTCCTGTCTCCCCCTGTGAGCTTTGAGGACAGGGCCTGGGCATGCACCTCCTTCAAAATACTGCCTCGTTCTCTCCTGGCTCACCCAGCCTTCCAGTGAGAGATGATCTTGCAAGGTGGCCCAGAGTGAGGACCTACGATCTCCTGCCTGCCCCACTTGCAGGTGGGTGCCTTCCCTGGGGCACTATCAGGCTGGAGAAAGGCAGAGCCCTTCCCTGACCAACAGTCGGCCCATGGGCCAGGTGTGGGCAGCCCTCCCTTTACCACAACTCCTGCGTTTCCCTGAGCACCCCATCTTACTGCTCCCCAATGTGCAGATCCCATACCTCCAAGGAGCCCATTGCTCCCCGTGGACCCCTCCCAGGAGTGCCCGTGATACACCCAGCCAGCTATGCCCCAGAGTTGAGGCCGAAGAACAAGCAAAGGCCAGTGCTGGTAGCCTGCCAAGTCCCTGGGCCGGATGGCCTAAGGATCGTGGTGGAAGGGTGCAGTAGTGTCTGCTGGCCACTCCGCTTGCTCCTTTGGTTCTGGCCTCACAAGAGCAGTGTTAGGTTGCTGCTTCAGGAACTAGGGGCCAGCCAAGAGGCTGCAGGCACCAGGCTGTCCCAAGTGAGCTTCTAATCTCTTGACAGGGATGCTAGAGAACACTCCGCCTCCATGTGTCCACACAAGGGAGCTGGGGAACCATGCTTGCTGGCATTTCTGCATGGGACTGCTGCATGGTGCCCCTCCCCCCCCAGCTGCTCAGTGCTCCAGGCATGTGACCCAGCCTTCCTGGTAGTGGGCCTCCAGAACCTCCGGGATGCACCTCCTTGGAGCAGCCTCCCAGAGTGCTGTATTCTAAGAGAATGTCAGTGCACCCCACCCATTGGCACCCCTGCCAGCAGCAGGGACGCTCCAGGGGTGTTGCCTGGGGCACAGGCATGCCTGTGCAGCCCCTGCATTTGTCTTCAGCACACTTGCCTCATCCAGTGTTTAGCATGGCTGCTGTGAATTCAGCTCCGGGAGCCTGCTGTGCTAGGTGGGCCCCACCACGCGCTCTGTGGAGCTTGCTGGTGGCACTGGAGGCCAATCCCTTCTGCATCTGGGAGCCACTGACACCCCTCCGACTTGGTCCTCCAAATGCCACCATCACCCGCAGTGAGAAACCATGGGCAGAGCATGGCCCACCCCCACGCCCACCCACAGCGCTGGGGAAAGAGCACAGGGAGGCTGAGGTGCAACTGGATGAAAGGCTGCTTGCTTTATTTGAGATGCAGGCGAGGGCAGGGTGGACAGCCTGTCTGCCCGAGAGCACGGCCACACTAGCAAAGTCCTCAGTCCTCTCCATGCCACACAGCCCAGGTGCTCCTCCGTGACTTCTGGGCCCACTGGCCACCTCGGTGCCTTCCTCAGGCCACTTGGAGAGGAGCCCCTTGCAGGTGGTGCCGGGTCCAGTGCGCTTTTCTTGGACGGACCCTGTTCCCTCTGTCCCTGCAGTCTCCCTCACCAGTGCTTCCCTTCCCACCTTTCCCTCCCCTGCCCTCCAACGATTGGCAAGCACAGAAAGGGAGAAAACCACAAAAATCAATGTTGCCTTTGCCTACAAATAACAGACTCTCAGCCACAGGGAGAGGCCGCACTCAGCAGCAAAGCTGGGTGTGCTCTTGTGCTTAGGGCATCCTTGCCTCTCCTCTGCAGCTCCACGTCCTGTCTCCAAGCATTAGGGTGGAGGGAGCCCTGGAAGGGGGCCATCACGGGGTGCCCAATGCCAGCCATCACTGTGGTCACTGCCCGGGGAGAAGGAAGTAGCCCATGGAAGAGAAGCGACCCTTCTCAGGGGCTTCTCTCCATTAAACTCCCGTGCACGTGCACGCACAGACAGGTAGGTGTGTACATGTTTGTGGCATGCACACACCCACCCACCTACACACCAGACTAAGGGAGAGGGAGCCGGCCTAGGCCAGGATGGGCTCCGCCCTGGCGGCTCAGACAGTGGTGACCGAGAGCAGGGGGTTGTAGACCCGCTTGCCGTCGGCTGAGCGTGCGCCGTGGGCCAGCATCTCTTGGATGGTGATCCAGTTGTCCAGGATCTTCTTGTTCC